GTCCCGTTCTCAATGAATTCAGATTAACGTAAGTAATTGCTCAATATAACAAGTACACATTCTCATCCCGATATTTCGTTATTCATACTCATGTTTATACTTTTTCTGCTCGATTTCGGAGCTACTCTCGCAACTGAATATTAATCATTATTTTCTAATTTTCCAATTGTTTTTATTAATGTCCTTTTAAATGCATTAATGCAGCACGCAATTATTTCTGGGTGAAATGCCACTTCTACTTCCTATTCTCGTAATTTATCCAAGAGCGGTAGTAGTATATCAGGATTTTCTTCCACGGTATGCAGTCTTCTTTGGAAAACTGGCATATAAGGGGTATTCAAATAAGTTAAAGTTTAACGGTTTGACAGGTTATGTCGGGTTAAAGTCGAGTAAAAAGTTAATTAATTAACTTTGGGCGCGCTACTCTTTTAGGTTATGTAAAATACATAAGTAACTCATTAACCTATCACATTAGTCTTTGGGTTAAAAGTTTAAAAATTAATTTTTTACCCTACTATAACCTGTCAAACCGTTAAACTCTAACTTATTTGAATATCCCTAAAGAGATTGCCAATAATCTTGGAGTAAATTAATATTTAATTCCTTATATGCAGATGTCCCTGTGCGAGGTATTAGAACCACTTGATTACGAGGAATTCTTGGGACAGCATCAGTCAGTGCTGGACCGTGATCCTTTAAAACCAATACCAGATTTTCCACCGGGAGACGTCAAATTGAGAGTCGTAAAGAGGAAGATTCGAACAGAGGAGCCAGTAGTACCGCACGAATCAATGTAAGAAAATAGTCGAAACGCTATTAATTACAATACAGTTATTTAAAACTTGTCATCCATTCTTTATTTTGATCATTTGGCTTTCAGTGATACCGTGTCGCCTTATGTGAAAAGATGTTGAAAGTTTTACTTCAGACTGGGTCGTAATACATCGTAAATACAAAGGTAGAATCTCACTTATCGCCAGAGACAGATTGATTCAGGATACACTTAGACAAGATTTCGAGGTACCTAGTGCTGGAGATAAAATTAATTTATTTGTGATAAGCAGGAAGTAAAAGCGATTTATCTTAATTAGGTAGATCAAGAAGATGCAAATGGTTGTGTATCACTGAACGAGGAGGATGATTTGTCCAATTCCGGAGATACTCCGAGAAGATCTTGGGCAACTCTGGATTTGCGGTATTCGCAACATGACTCTCTTCTGCCGAGTTTGTTAGATCGTGTTTGCCTCGAAACGATCGATCAGATGAACGAGCAGAAAAGATTGGAGGATCGACAGGTATAGGATTATAAAGCGGCAAGTTTGTTTATTTTGTTTTTATTAAATATTCTTAATATTTGTTATTCAATATTTTATTAAATATTGAATATTTATTAAATATTTGTTATTAAATATTTTATTAAATATTGTTCCGGATTCGGCGTTGCTGATACATTCTATTCCGCAATATTTAGACGAGTCCGTAAGTCAACAACAGCGTGTAAAAAAAAGTAATTGCTACTCTGAAATGATGTATACAAAATAGGCCAAGACATGCCCATTTTATGAAGAATTAGATGAAATTTTAGGCAAAAAGCCATGCGTCAAGCCCGTTGCACTGGCCTCCAACAGGCGTCCCGTTCTGGATAAAATGTGCACGGATGTAGACTGTAAAGAAGAACCTGAGAAAAAGAAGAAGAAAAGTAAATCCGACGTTCTCGATGAAATTAGAGAGTGGAGGGTGGAGTCGATGGAATATCGAAGAACCACTGATGCCGAGAAGCAGAAACAGCGCGAGGAGCAACTTGAAATTGCACGGAAGAGTATCGAGTCTATGGATGCTCGCATGGGTCAGTTAATTGATGTCTTGAAGAAAAATTAAAGGTATCCCAGATAGCACAACGCAACTAATTATACAATTTAAATAGTTCATTTACAGTATTAGCTGAGATTATTCACTATAAATTTTTTCACTATAAATTCTTTTGAATATATAAGTTGTAGATTCTTTTTAAACGTCGTATAAATAATATAAATAATGGCTACTCTTTTACAGTTATTCCTTCGGCTCTGGACGCATAGTATATAACAAGTTCAAGTCCGTGGTATCGTACGTGATTGATGATCTACCATTGTTCGATAAGAATGCGGTGGTTACTGTACCGAAGTTGTCGGTGTATGATTCACTTGACGAGGAAGTAATATAGAGCTATCTGGAATTCTCGCTCGCTTCGATGAAGGAAGGCGCCTGCAGTGAGCAGTCCAGCCGTATGACGGCCATGGACAACGCCACCAAGAACGCCGGAGAGATGATCGACAAACTCACTCTCACGTTCAACCGCACTCAACGTATAACGTTGTAACTTTATAACGTTTGTATTATATATTAAGTACCAAAATTGAATTTCTATCAGTTCGGATATCAGAAGCATGTAACAACATGATCTTTTAATCTAGTTATAAAAGATTACAGATTCATCAATTTAGGAAGGTGTGGTATCTCTTTCTTTTCTTACTTTTTAATATAAAATAGTTGTTGTAGGTCAGACACAATCTTGTGATCGCGTAATAAAAGGAAGAGAGAAAGGAAGGAGATTCTATAATTGCAATGTGTGTTTGCAGTACCGTAAGAATTTTAAAGATAATTTAAAGTGTATAAAATGACGTGGCCTTTAGAGTACTAAATAAGACGATTACTTTTTATCGCAGTTTAACTACAACCTTGTTTATGTACTTCTAGCTTGTATATAGAACGATATTGCGTGAATGATGGATGCATTTTGTAATCAAATGCAGAAATATTTCGGTTTCTGCCATGTTGCATGACGTACGTAATAATACAATTTTGCAAAAACGATTTTCGAAGTTAGAGTTTCTTGTTGCTAGTTTGTAGTCTTAACACGTGTAATAATGATTATCGACTCGAGCGGTATTTTTGAGTTGCACCGGACATTTTGTAAAGGAGAAGTTTTTAAAAACCATGAAAGCAACGCACATACAATTTTAATTTCGTAAATGCACAATCCGAATTTATTAACGCTTACGAATGATTTATTAATGTTCAGCTCGAAAGTTTTGCTAATTAGCGTTCTCATTATTATGTAACAAACTGACAAAGAGAAATAAAATCTATATTTTTACATAAGCAATGCTGAGAATGTAAGGGATACATAATCTATCCCTTATCTGTAGACAAGAATGCATGTCTGAGAAGCTTACGTAACTGTGGGCTCGCACTTTTGTAAGGTAAACTTAATTATAGGCGCAGCGTATTTATGAATTGTTTCAAGTGTATACTAAGAAGTATAGAATTTTTAATGATTTTATGTTTAAGGGAAAAAACATTTAGAGTACTCTTCATTTCAAATACTTAAACTCTGCCCTATCGATTTATATGTTAAGGGGCAGATTAGGCGACTATTAAGGGCTACTAAAAATATATATGTATATATTTCACAAATATATACATATATTGGTAAAGCAATATACTCTTTTTGCTCGTTCATATTATGTAACAATAGAACTTAATTCACTCCCCCTTTTTTTCTTTTTTTTACCACCGTCATTCACATTAGTTGCAATAACTCATGTATGGTGTTTGCAATTTTTTCATTTATACTCTAAATTAATTGTTGCGACAGCAACGTTGTTTCGATGCTATATTGCTGTTGCTAATGCACTAGTTATACCAAAAAATTCATCGTAGCACAGCAGAACGATATAAATTAAAATTATTCAATTTGTACAGCGAATAAAGGGATTTTATTGTCGACGAGTATATCGGTATACTCTAAAACTATATGTATAAAGAAATGCATAATAAAGGAATTTATACTATTTGTAACATTTGTACCATTTATTACTTGAATTTTCAATTTTATTTGGAAACAAAATTTGATATATTAGAAACATAATTATACTATTTAGGTGGTCAATGTAATGTCATTTAATATAAAATATAATAAACTTTTCTTGGCGCAATTAGCCTTTAAGAAGGCAAAAATAGTATCTATAATTAATTATAATGTAGTTTTTGTATAAAATTATGTATACAATTTTTTGTATAAAATACTAGGCCTGTTCATTTTCGATGCACTTTTGAACTAATGCAATAAGTTAGAACGAAACAAATATATTTTGGGGTCTACAATGCGAGTCGTAAGTCGTAAGTTATAAGAAACTGACTAATCGCAGTCGATTATTCTCCTCAAATTCGACTTAATTGGTCAATTTCTTACGACTTATGACTTACGACTCGCATTATAGACCCCGTATAACCTATTGCACTAGTTCAGAAATGCAGCGAAAATGAACAGACCTACTATGAGAATCACAGTGTAAATTACTATTTATTATTATTCTAGCATATTTTTTTTCACTGATGTATATAAATATTCGATGCAAATATCAATAGAAATAATTTCAAATTTAAATTACGCGCTCAGTTCTCTGGGCGTGTCAAATAAGACACGCTCATCCCCCACCACTTCGGGTGAGTTTGGTGTACCCCGGGTGACTTTCTGAACGCACCCTAAGAGAATAAAACATTTTTTCAATTTTAGAGTATCGGAATTACAGTTCAAGTGACTTTTCAACAGAATAACGCCACAATGAACCTTACGTTACTATTATCGCAATTTTATGTAATCTGTTGGGACAAATGAGAGATGATGTAATTAGAGGAAGGATGTAAATTTAGGAAACGTTTTATTGATTTAGAAACAGAAGCAAAATTACAAAAAGTTTTATTCATATAATGTGTATTATTCTTTACAATTTCCATAATTTTTTATAACCTGTGTTATATGTAACAGTATAACGACGCTTGTATTAAATTATTATCTTGTTATAATCTGATAGTGGAAAGAAATAAAGGTGAAGCAGTCCTCGTGACGAGTTTCGTTCTGTTCTGCGCAGCCTAGGCATGGTGGGGGATTCGCACGTGGTTCCGCCATCTTTTTTCGCTAACACGTGGTTACGTGTAGCATATGAGTCATGAGTCATGAGTCAGTCACGGTGGAACTTTCCACCATGGTGCGATCTCAGCTGATCCCGGATCCGTGTCGAGTCACCGGAGTCACGCGTCTGGACGATGTCTGATGTGCGCAGATAACTGGTAATTACCAAGGTCGGTAAATACTGTCGCCGCGCCGTGTTTACGCCGGCGCCGCGTCTACCGACCTTGGTAATTACTGGAGTCGGTTGGCGAATTGGACCGTGTTCAGACGCGTTTTGTCCGGAAGAAATTTTTTTTTGTAAAGTATCGCAACTGTCACCATCTGCATTGTTTAACAATCAGTATATACCTTGTACCGGCGCCTTTCGAGGCCTCCAACCTTTGTAATTTACGCCGCTGGCGACTTATACGACGAGTGGAGCCCCGGCCTTATTTAGACGGCCAAATTATAAGAATTAAGAAGAAGACTGGTAATTACCGGACCGTTATCCGGGTTATCACCCGATAATACGTACAAAGTCCCGATGGCGAAAACACGGGTATATATCCGTCTCCGCCGTTCCGACCCCCGTGATACATGTCGTCGCTTTTGTAGGTGATGTCCGCGATAAACGTGAAGGCGCTCACAAATCAGAATGTCTGGAAATTCTTGAAGTCGTTCGACACCGTGCTGACGGACTGCGACGGTGAATGAGGGATTGCGGGACGAAGCGCGGTCGGTACGACGTTTGATCCTTCCGGTCTCTCTTTCAGGCGTGCTATGGATGTACAAGACGCCCCTGCCGCATTCGGCGGACGTCGTGAATCTGTTCCACAGGCTCGGCAAGCGGGTTTTCTACGTGACGAACAACAGCACGAAGACCCGGGATGACCTCGTGGAGAAGTTCCGGGCCCTGCAGTTTGAGGCGACCAAGGATGATATTTTGTGTACCGCTCACCTGTCAGCGAGTTATCTACAAAGCTTGGGCTTTCGCAAGAAGGTTTACGTTATTGGTTCCAAAGGTAAAGCCCCTGGTCTACGAGTCAATGGAATTATGAAATGTACATTATGCAATTGTCTCTGTTCTGATATCAATTTTTATCTGCAGCGATCGGGAAGGAATTGGAGGAGGCTGGTATCTCGTATTGCGGAATAGGGCCGGACCCAATTAATCAGAATATGTATTCCGTTTTCAAGAAGGACCCTGAGGTAGCCGCGGTTATAGTCGGTTTCGATGAACACTTCAATTATCCTAAAATGGTCAAAGCGGCTACGTATCTGAATGACGCCAATGTACATTTCATTGGAACCAACACGGATCAGAGGGATCCAGCTTCAAATGATGTCGTGATACCTGGTAGGTATTTAAATACTTTATGTGACTGCTATTAACAACGCGCTGTCAATTAAAAATCTGTGACTTGCAGCTACAGGATGCCTGGTTAAATGTATAGAAAATTGCTCAGAGAGAAAGGCGATGATTGTGGGTAAACCGGATAAATATATGGCTAAAATGTTGATGGAACAATCCAACGTTGATCCCCAGCGTACTTTAATGATCGGAGACCGGGGCAACACCGATATACTCTTTGGAAATCGCTGCGGTTTTACGACTCTGCTAGTCCTGACGGGAGTGACCGCTTTGTCGGACGTCGAAAGATGGAAGCAGTCCGACCGACCGGAAGAACGGAATTTCGTACCGAATTACTACATAGACGCGCTTGGCGACTTATTACCGTACTTAAAAAAACTAGAAACTGAAATGTCACAAATTCGCAAGATTTAGCCGTGAAGAAGGAAAGTATGAGCGCCATAACACTTTAATAAAGATAATGCGACTTTTTAGAACAAATCCGTACATATATGGAATACTAGCTTGATACACCCTTGCTTCGCTACGGTATGCAAAGGATTCCTATAATTCACCTCCGAATTTAGATTTGCTCCTTTAGGGGTTGATTAGGGCAAAATTTTGAATTATGTTTTTAACCATTTGTATGGGTAATTTTTGTAAACAAAACCAAGTCGATATCTCATCGGGCCCAACAGATATTGAGAAAGTCGTGAAAGCACATTTTACCCCTTTTCACCCCTTAGGGGTCAAATTTCTAAAAATCCCTTTTTAGCGAGTGTTAACGTCATGGAAGGAATATACTCCTCGAATTTCATGGTTCTTGGTTTAGGGGTTTGGACTGTACGTTGAGTCAGTCGGAACATTTGATTATATATATATAAATAGATATATTTCATAGACACACACATGTACATATACATATATATATATATTTGTATGAATAGAATTTATTTAACAGATAGAATCTTTTCGACAAATTTTAACTATTTATATTAATTATGTAAATCAATAAATTCTCCCTTGTGTGTATAAATTTTGAGAAATATTAAACGAAAGATCATGCGGCCCATCTTGATTTATTTTTTCCTCGGAGATAAAGTGCGATTGTTGGAGGGAAATAAAAATGAAGGGGAAATGCTTGGATGGTCCGGGTTTAGACGGAGGTATGTACAAAGCGAGAAAGTAAATTTTCCACTTCAAATCTTCCAACCCCACGTTTAATCTATTCGTAATTAAAATCGAGATCACGGATTGCGATACAACCCATTAAATCGATATATCGCATGGCGTAGGCAGGCAGGGGTCCGACTGTTTTTTTTACGAAGTAACACGTGACACTAGTGACAGTGCGATCTCAGCTGATCCGTGCCGAGTCACGCGTCTGATGCGCGCGGATACTGGTAAATTTGGTAATTGCCGGACCGTTATCTGGGTTATCACCCGATAATACGTACAAGGTTCCCGATGGCGATAACACGGATATATGTCCAGTTCCGTCGTTCCGATCCCCGTGATACATGTCGTCGCTTTTGTAGGTGATAATGTCCGCGATAAACGTGAAGGCGCTCGCACGTCAGAACGTCTGGAAATTCTTGAAGTCGTTCGACACCGTGCTGACGGACTGCGACGGTGAGTGAGGGATTGCGGTCGGCTAAGGCGCGGTCGGTACGACGTTTGATTCTTCAGGTCTCTCTTTCAGGCGTGCTATGGATGCACATGACGCCCCTGCCGCATTCGGCGGACGTCGTGAACCTGTTCCGCAGGCTCGGCAAGCGGGTTTTCTACGTGACGAACAACAGCACGAAGACCCGGGACGACCTCGTGGGGAAGTGCCAGGCCCTGCAGTTTGAGGTGACCAAGGACGATATCCTGTGCACCGCTCACTTGTCAGCGTCTTATCTACAAAGCTTGGGCTTTCGCAAGAAGGTCTACGTTATTGGTTCCGAAGGTGAAGCCCTGGTCCACGAGTCAATGGAATTATGAAATTTTCTCTGTTCTGATATCAATTTTTATCTGCAGCGATCGCCAAGGAATTGGAGCAGGCTGGTATCTCGTATTGCGGAATAGGGCCGGACCCAGTTAAGCAGAATGTCCCATATTCCGTTTTCGAGAAGGACCCTGAGGTGGCCGCGGTTATAGTCGGTTTCGATGAACACTTCAGTTATCCTAAAATGGTCAAAGCGGCTACGTATCTGAATGACGCCAATGTACATTTCATTGGGACTAACACGGACGAGAGGTTTCCAGTTTCAAATGATGTCGTGATACCTGGTAGGTGTTTTAAATAAATTATGTGACTGCTGTTACAACACGCTGTCAATTGAAAATCTGTGACTTTTCCGATGCAGGTACGGGAAGCCTGGTTAGATGTATAGAAAGTTGCTCAGAGAGAAAGGCGGTGATTATGGGTAAACCGGATGAATATATGGCTAAAATGTTGATGGAACGATCTAACGTTGACCCCCAGCGTACTTTGATGATCGGAGACCGGTGTAACACCGATATACTCTTTGGAACTCGCTGCGGTTTTACGACTCTGCTAGTCCTGACGGGAGTGACCGCTTTGTCGGACGTCGAAAGATGGAAGCAGTCCGAGCGACAGGAAGAACGGGATCTCGTGCCGAATTACTACATAGACGCGCTTGGCGATTTATTACCGTACTTAAAAGAACTAGAAACTGAAATGTCATAAATTCGCAAGATTTAGCCCGTGACGAAGGAAAGTATGAGCGCCATAACATTTTAATAAAGATAATGCGACTTTTTAGAACAAATCCGTACGTATATGGAATGTATCTCATGCACGCATACATGTACATATATATATTTGTGTGAATAGAATTACCTAACAGAATCTTTTCAACAAATTTTAACTATTTATATTAATTATGTGAACCAATGAATTCTCTCTTGTGTGTATAAATTTTAAGAAATATTAAACGAAAGATCTTGCAGCCCATCTTGATTTATTTTTTCCTCGGAGATAAAGTGCGATTGTTGGAGGGAAATAAAAATGCAGGGAAAATGCTTGGATGTTCCGAGTTTAGACGGAGGTACAAAGCGAGAAAGTAAATTTTCCATTTTAAATCTTCCAACCCCATGTTTATTTTGGCAATGCCTTTTATATGAAAAAGTACACCTTTTTTGAAAGGGATGATGCACATTTTGGATGAGAAAGGAGTACTGCGAGAGAGAGAGAGAGCGAGAGAGAGAGAGAAAGGAAGATAAATTGGCAGAGGATGAAAGGATGTGTGCAAAAAGATTGTGTGATAATACAATATATATTATTCAAATATATATATATATATGATAATGGTAAACTTAATGGTAGAGAGAGAGATGCGAATTCGTAATCCTTACCTAGAGCTTGTCGTAAACTCATAACAGTGAAATATATTTATAACGCGTTATATCATATAATATAAAAGAAGCGTGGTACGTATGTATGTGTGTGTGTGTATCCGTTGTGTATGTATATGTGTGTCTTTCATCTCGTCTCGTGTACATCTGTATATATTATTTTATTACTTTCTAAGTTTTATCGGAGGGTCTTGCCCCTAATCTCTGCGGAGAGGAGAATCAGAGGTGTGTGCATGCCTATATTTTACATAGACACATCCAAATATCGATTTCGTAGAGCACGAGTCGTAAAATCTTTTAACAGCTAAATCGTTAACGGTTTTCGATGCGTAAGTATTGTAGCGAGACAGCGTAACATTCATTACCACCATATGTAACGTTCGCAATGGGGGTGCACATTATACAAAGGAACCCGTACGTTTTTCTCAGATTGATTTACGGAGACCGTCGAAGCCGCCCTCGCGGACTATGTTCCCCTACGTCGGTCGGATCGTTTAAAAGTTCGATATGAAGTTTCAGCGTAAATCACAGTTCACTCATGATACACGTCGGAAAGATATAACGCATTCAAGGTACGCCTTCAATTTCACAACGAAATGCATTGCGGCACGTCGATCGAGGGGATCGGCTGTAACAATAAATAATTTCTCTTATACTCTTTTTGAAACATATATCACAAATCTTTCGCGGACTAGAAAAACACGCGATAATAACACTAGTAAACATAATCTTTGTTATATGTAATATTTTGTCTCTTTCCTGCGTATTTTCTTACGCTGCATTCAAAAATGTTATCAGAATCTTTTGTAACGACAGAAAGAGAGAAAGAGAGAGAGAGAGAGAGAAAGAGAGAGTTCTAATTTTTCGAAATATGTAAAACAGAGATACGCTTGAAGAAAGCATACGATCGCTTTTTTTTTATTGCCATGCTACACTATCCTCTCGGAGGCAAAATTTGCATTAGTTTACACATGTCCGTGGGGATCCCGTATCCCATGGACGATTAAACATTGATACACGGCCTTAAAAAGTATATATGTATTTCGATATGTGCGATCACTTAAGTAGAATCGCCGCCGGTGTATTGCAATCGAAGAGCTTACCTTTTAAGCTGTCGTGAATGCGCGTTAAAAACAAATTATGCATCATATATAGCTTTGCTACGCATAATCTTCACCTTTTTAAGGATATGTATACTTGAGCCTTCGAAAGTAAGCTCTTCGATTTCGTGAATCGTCGTCGCTTCCCTCGTTCTCTATGAATTATTACGTAATTAATGATTAGTCTTGTAATTGGCACAAGTTTTCTCGTGTATTTGTAGGTAATCGAAAACGGTTTTAACAAGAGGGAATCTAATATCTTGCGGTGTCGATCGGTTTACATGTATAACGGGGAGAAGAAAGCGGATATGATAAGAAGAACGACGTGTGAGGGATTCCACATAAACGATTCCGCGGTCGTTCCAACACCCTTTGGAAAAACTGACGAATGTTACCATCGCTACATTTACATTATAATGCTGTATTATAACGAGACAAGATTATAATAACGAGCAGTCCTAACGAGAGGGTGAGAAAGACAATAAATCGATAAACTTCTCACTTACAGATATAATACAAATCAACGAATTTAAATCTAATCGTTCTTATAGCACTCGCTCGCTAGATCTCTCTGGTACAGAAAAAAATGTTCTCATTTCATAATGATAAGTTACGCCGCAAGCATTCTGAAATGTTTTTATAAGTGGAATATTAATTAAGACTGACAACACACACACACACACACACACACACACACACACACACTTGCACGCATGCACGCACGCATACGCACGACACATGCACACTCGAATGAAACCACATACACACACAAACACACACGGTAGTCGTTCGATAGATATCTCTAACGGGAATTGCAAAAATTAATAATATACTGTAATTTCGTCAATAAACGACTTACGACCGTACAGAGTGATTCAAACATGTGTCACCGAATTTGAGAAACATTTTATTTTTTTTTTAAATAAAATAGCATGGATGAATTATCGGTCAAGAAGCATAAAAGATCTTTCAATTTTCAACTTGTAATTAAAAATGAAGAAATTGGTACATTAGACACTTCTGTTTTTTTATAAATATATTCTTAAAATTTGTACAATTCTGCGAAATCTTTTCGTCGCTTTCAGGACAACTTTTGATTGTCTAATATTTTAAGAAGACATAATAATATTTCCTGTGCTTAGATCACAGAGCATAAAATATAAAAACATTTATTAAGTATAGATATGATATCGTCAGTCTGCTAAATTACACTTAATAATATACATATTTGCCGATGTTTAGTAAGTCAAAATATTTTATTTTTCTTCCACGTACAATACGCAGTCGAGCAACGTAGATTTGAATTACTCTGTATTTTTTCATAAACTCTAAATAAGGATCTGTTCATTCAGCTGGAATGTCGCTGTGTGACGCTACTACACGATTGTCAACGAGACAAAAAAGTCGAACATTATTACCTTATGTTTCGCGAAATGGACGAAATGGAGAGGATGCACGTCATGCGCTCGAATATATAGCAGTAGAAGAATATGTTATGTGATATGTGTGTATGTGTGCGTATGAATGCATGCTTTATACATACAGGATATCCTCAAAAAATGTACGGGGCTTGCTTACTTTCGAGGACGACTTGACTAAATTTGGAATCGAATTTTTCTTCATAAAATCAGAAAATAAACCTATAAATCAGTGAATTTCAATCAAAAAGTTAAATTTGCAAAAATGCGAATTAACTTTAGAATGGATCATATTGAAATTCTAATTATTATTTCAGACAGACGTTTTATGTATCTGAATTTGATGATTTATTTTATAATAAATAAATTTATAATTAATCAGAGCTGTGAAAAATTATGATGTTGCAAAAATTTACAGCAAAACGATCAACTTCAACCTGATAAAAAGAAATTGCGGCTGATGGAAAGACTACGATTTTTGCGATATCCTGTATGAATGTACAGTATATACACGCGTGGCTTTGGCAAGCCACACGTTTAGAGATTAACAAATAAATACAGATATATGTACACGCGCCGGACTATATGTATGTGTGCCCAAGCCGACGCGCTATAAACTTCGACCCGCGTTTGTATCTCATATTTAACATTCTGTATGCAGTCATCTAAATTCTTAATCTCATATAACATTTTACACGCAATTTTTTATTAAGAGAAATAAAAACCACCCGCGACAGTCGCGTTTAGCGCTAAATGCGAGATATAAACGCGAGCCCTAACAGATCAATATCGTCTTATAAAACAACTAAATGAAAACATTTGTACTTTAGCAGTATAGAGCAGTCATTTTTTGTCGTAGTTACCCTTAATATCGTTTTATCTTCGTTTATATTATATTTTATACATGTATAGTAATATATATTATTATGTATTCTTTTAAGAATAATTCCCGCCTCCCTTGGCACGCCAGTCGCTACCATTATTCTTGTCGTCGCCATCGTCTTCAACTTCGTTAATAATGTATATGTGTATGTACATGTATATATGTGTATTCAGAGTGTCGCGCATTTTCTCTTTACTACGAATGCTAGATGTTAAACTTCGAGGAACACCTCAAGACAAAATAAAAAAATTAAAAATTAACAAGATTTAGGTAGTCATTCAGTTTCAATTTAATCGAAGTATTCTTTGCGAGATTTGCAAATAGATAACAATATTTCATTTCTCATATAATTTTCAAGTGGACTTTCCTTCAACGAAATATTAATTTGAGGATTAATAATTAACCAGACAGAATTTCATCAGATCTAAGGTCACGAGAAAGCGCGCGATGACTGGGATACATTGTATATGTATGTACGTACAGTGGCGAGCATGTAAATAGGAACAAACATTTATTACAATTCGGCCCATCGTTTCTTCGCATAAAGAGATTAGATTTATTTATGTAATATTTTTTATTTCACGGAGTGCAATAATGCGAAGATTAATACACCTTGATATGTATTCTCTTTTAAACCATATAGTGATAATAATTTTAACGAAAGTGGGATTTTTGAAAATGTTCACTGAAAAATATAAAGTATCTTAAATTCAGGAGAGCATGGTATTCAGTATTCACTATTTATACGTTGACCACTGTTCACATATGTCCAAGCCGCTTGATAAAGTATAACATTCGGTAAATATATTTTGAGTATTTGAATCGAGCAATCAGTTTTTTTTTTCAAATTTATCTTTATAAATTAAAGAATCTGCAAATATAAACGAGTCTTATAGGGATAAGGTCCCTTCGCAATTTGTCAACTTCTTTCGTCAAGCGCCTTTGGATATTTACACGACAGACGCAAATTCGCACAAAAATGCTCGACATAATAAAATCTCCTTTTTCTTTAATTGATTTAAAATCAATCTTTTTTCTTAACACAAATGTCAGAGTACTCGAAAATATAAAACTTTTTATAAAACGACCTGAGAGTTTCGTGACTAATAGACAATAACGTTTTATTTTTAAATTGATTCAATTAAACAGAATGTTATTTTGAAAAATATTTAATATTGATGACATCTATTCGCAAGTCGAAAACAGAACAAAATTCAACTAGAATCGGTGACGAATTAAATCAAGACGAAATTGGCTCCATGGAATTTGTTGACAGAACTTTGTTTGTACGAATTTGTGGCCGTCTTGTATATTTATGGATGTATATGTCGTTGCTTTTTATGCGTGTCGAAGAGAACGGGTATGCATAATGCGCGCATGTAACCGAGAGTCTATATTAAACCGAAGAGCGATTATTATGTATGTAGTCTTAGCAACTGCGGGCGGAATACATAGAAGTATTTCGAAAAACCGTTTGGACCGTCCTTATCATACTAGCGTTTGCCTTTCCTCGACTTAAATAGCGCCGCTGACGATATATAACGTCAATATAGATAATCACTAATAAGTACATTCAATATAGCAATAATAATAATAATATCTTTATCCATAATAATAATTATAATCGTAATAATAGTTATAATGATGGTAGCAGTAATGATAATAAACGTATCGATGATAATGATAATAGCAGTGGGAGGAGCACAGCGATAATAATCGGATTTTATAACCGCAATAATATTAATCGTAACGATATTGATTATACCAACGATTTGTATAAGTATATATACAGACACTATAGCACCATGACCGAAATCTCGAATCTCGAAATCTAAAAGAGACGAAGCAAAAGATGAAATTAGGAAAGTCCATGGGATGGCGAAAGGGGAGCGGATTAAAGGGGGGGAAGAGAGGACTAAAGGAATGGGTGAACATTGCGTCTCGATCGAAACACGAGAGGAAAATTGGCGATGTGGGAAAAAGAGAGAGAAGGACCGTCCTTTCAAGCCGGTTTAGTATGTTCAAAAGAATAGGAGAAAATGAAGAGAGGCTCTTCGACATAAAATGATAATAAGGGAAGGTCCGATAAGAACCAGGCTGCTAGCGGAAAGTATGTCTACGTTGATGATTGTTTCTACAATGATCTCGATTCGCTCTGAATCCCGTTCGGTAAACTCAGTCTCGTATACGTTGGAACGCATCAACGTCTGCGATCCGGCTCTTATTCGGACCTTTCCGCATTATACCGGAGTTTCAGAATACACCAACTCGATTATCGTTCCGTTTCTTACGTGTGTGTTTCTTTTCTTTATTACCGTACCGGCCAATCGTCGCGTTTACGCTATACGAGAAGTCGAAGAACGAAGGACCGCCGGCGAGCAGAGCGAAAGATCTGGGCGAAGTCAGGGCGAAAGGACCTGGGAACACATTCCCTAAAAGTGGAACATCATCGATTCGCGCGCGGATAACCGGCAAGAACACGAAGGAACACTATCGGCGCTACGCAAGGACGACGAAAGACGATTGACCGGCGTCGTCGCTAAGAGACAGAGACAGATAGAGAATTATCTTGTTTTTATCATATAATAATACGATATTACGCTATATTATTACTATGATGTATTTGGCCGTTTAATTATATACTCCAGCAACGCTCGCCAGAACACCTCTTCAATTCACGATTGCTACCTCGGCGAATAATTTTCGTGGGACTAGAAATTTTGAAGAGCACGACCGTGACGTAACCGGAGAAAAATGTCGATCTCAGACGAGAATATAATATTTATCCGTTTATCGTTTCTTTATTCATGTTTCTCATTTTTAATTTGCACCAAGACAGTGACATAACACAAAATTAATGTTTTAAGGAATCCCCAACTTTCTTTCTTTTTTCTTTAGCTTTTCGAATCTTGGAATTCCTTGAAATTGTAAAATTATGCCGTTGCACGCTCCTTCAATTTTAACAAGCCAAGGGACGTCGATGTCGCTGTCGATTCTCGCCATTGGATTTCATCCGGAGATATCCTTTCTCGAAATTTTATCCGAAAACCCTGAAACTCCAATCGACATTTTTCTCGTATCGCAATGATCGGATAGAAAGCGGAAACAATATAACGATCAATAAGCGCCAAGTCACGCACGCTCGACTTATATTGAATCACGAGAGACCTTCCACTGTCGATTACAATGATTAGAATATAAAAGCGAGAGAACACTACCACGTGATCGTGATCGTTGCGTTGTAATCACCGATATGTCCTACCTTGCGATTCGCTCGACATTAACGCGTTAATTAACAGCTACTTCTTTTTTTTCTGCAATATAGCTTCAATATAATGTTCCTTTGTAATATACATATATATATTTCTCCTATATATATATATATTTGTATATATATATTTATATTATATTAAACGGTGATATCCTCTTTGTCCAATATATTAAGTATGATATGTTTATTCACAACTTGATGTGAGCGCTTAGAAAGAGTGTGAAAGAGCGAGAAAAAGGGATAGAGTGATAAAAGATTGGAAATTCTTCCTTCCTTCCTCTAATATCGCAAGGACTGCATCTTCGATTCCTCTTTCAAATTTGAGTGATAGCGATAATAACCCGGGTTACGTCGTTACTTTAAGCACGCCCGGCGCATAGGTAAAACAGTGATATCTATATCAATAAACTTCTTTTTGCTCTCTTATTACACGGATGAGTATTTCGATGCACTCGCGCATCGCACATGTCGCACACAGACGCACTACACGCACACACAACAAACGTGCACAAGTACGTGCACACACGCTCTGCGATTATATATATATATATGTATATTATATATATTGTTATGCATTATACGCTAGTCATTGTCAGAAAGTTTATTAGTGTTTAAAGTTTGAAGAGCCGGTCGCGCTCGCCGCAGGATCGTTCCGCGCGGAATCGCGAGTCAGGTAAAGAGTTCTCTGGACCGTCTCGCGTTGCGTGTCGCGCTGGGTGTCATGTGTATGTGTGGGCTGTGTGTCGCCGGTACGCGCTCGTTCCGCACGATTTCGTAAGCACGTGTATAAAATGCCGGACTCATCGCGTTCGTTCGCTGGTCTCTCTCGGGGCGCGGTTTACAGATCACAGACGTCGGTTTGCCGCGACGAGTAAACGTGCAAAATCTTCCGCGTGATTAATTGAGGAACTTTAATCCGAATCACCGTTTGCGCTCCGGGTTCTCTCTCTTGCGCGCTTTCGCCCGGAACAGTTTCCCGAAGCGTCGCACGACGATATATAATTATATATATTATATATAATTATATAATTATATATAATTATATATATGTATATCGAGATATAATTCGCTATTCTACTTGTCGAGTAATAAAAATAGAGATTGCATAGATTGAAATTCGTAGCAGATGCGCCTATAAGAAGATACGTCCTATAAAGATTTCCTCTCGAGCCTTATAGCATGAAATTTGTATAATACGCTTCCTCTCTCAGCGCCCGTGCGCCGTTAATTACATACGTAAGCTCATAGCTGTTGTATGCGTATATGTATGCGTGCTCGCGCTTGTATCGCGTGAGCCTCGTGCCCAATCGCACGCGCGTTTCATTACATTTACGCGGCCGTACAATCGTTCATCATCACCTCAGTGTCGCAACAAATCAGGAATCAGAAACGATGACAAGCTCGACCTTCGATGTTGAGAACACGGGTAAATGTGTCCCGATTAATTAATTAGCGATCTAAAAATCTAACAAGGAAATTAAAATTATATATCAATTCAGCGGGCATTTCAATTCTTTGTATAGTTATACATATATATGTATTAACATATATTTAAGAATACCTTATTATTACGAATTAATTATAAAACATGTAATACAGAAACGCAAAATTCAATATTTTCACGTGTCTGCAACATCGAAATTCGAACTGATCGCAATTACGCTGGGCGCGGCACCAAGAGATACATACATGCTCAGCAACGCTTAATACACGAGGGAACACTTTATAATCTTAATTTCTGATATGTCCGTTGAGTATAGTTGGTGTTTCTGATGCTATCGTTTGGCCGATTTCCATTCTAGCCGCTCAGACGGGTACTGCACGCAATATATATATATATATATATATATATATATATATTGCTGCTGTACATATATATTTTTTAGTTATCTTTACATCTTAGAATTATTTAAAGAAACAGAAAAAAAATAAAAGCCAGAATCTTTTTTGAGCACGAACGGACGTCCATGACTCGACTTACGCTTTTGTGCTTGTTCTCTCATCGCAACGCTCGTTAAAACAGCCATCCCCGTTTACTTGACGCGACGGCAAAACGGCACGAAAGATCTCTCCCTCGTCGATTGAGTATTTCAAGTATATACGCCCGTTCAGAGACGCGCGCGTGCTGTAATGCGTGTGTGCTATTGCTTGGCGAATAGTACAAAGCCGTTTTCCGTTGAATTTGAGCAAATTGCACCTGCGAATTGTCCTCCGAACTTGCGCGGAGCTTGCACAGAGAAGTTTCAGCTTATTGCTTGCGCGGCCCTTTAAAGGTGATCTTTTCCTCCCTTGAGATCATCTTCTGTTATTCGCTGGAGCGATCGAGACGTTCTCGATCGGGGGAATTCCTTAGAAGATCGCTACCAGAAATTCACGCTAGTGTCGGCTGCTTGATCTCGCTATTCAGATAATCGACGATTGCGCCTGTAACTTTCTCCTTTCTCTTTCTTTTCTAGTACAGCAAGTCGTCTTTCGCGATCCCTCGGCCGAAAATGCTTCCTTTCCCGCTAACTTTTGAGCGACCGAAATATTCCCCGCGACAAGTCAGCAGGAATTGCCGTTGACAATCGCGTTTTCGCTTTTCTTTTCTCTTTAATTTTCTTATATCCTTTGTGTTAGACAGCCGATCTTCACATGCGTCATTCCTCGTTTCAATCGCCCGTTCTTCATGCAATTCGAATTTGTTCTTCTCGTTGGATCGTGTTAGATGTGTTTCGCTAACTCTACGAGTTAAAACGAACGATTCTAGATATTCAGAACGGCCTCGGTGAGCGCTCGGGCGATTAAGTTTCTGGCCGACATCACGGCATCATCGGTCTCGAATTACCTCGCTGCAGCTTACGGAGGCTGCTAAACAAAGGATATTTCACTGTATTCGGTAATTTAAAATCTTAAAATTAGATAAATTAAACGAAGTTTAATTACATTTTATACACAAACAAAGTTTAATTTATCAACAAAATTTAATTTATCGACATTAAACGACAATTAAACAAATTAGACTAATATCTGTAAAGAAACTTGTCAAAGCAACAGAAGCAGACACGATTTACGAAAACTAATTAAATCTATTAGTTTAATTTTAAACCGATTGACGCAATTGCATCAAGATAATTAAGATTGCATTGTTATATTGGATTATTATAAAAGTTCACGCTAATTTCGCACTGTGGACATTAATTTATAATCGCTATCATGATACAAATGACGAAAAAGCAAATCACATTAGCAGACTTTATTTATCGAAAGTATTGAATTATCAAATGACCAAAAGAGAAGCGAGAAAAAATTGAAATTACATTGGATAATATAAATAAAAGTAAAGGAAGATAAAAGCGAGCGGAAGATAAAAGCGAGTACTTGTTTAAAAGTAAAGGCATGAAGCGTAAACATAAATCTCGTATTTCATATAAATACCCTTTTAAAGCATCCGTTTGCAAATGTCAAGTCAGCTATCGATTATCGAGCTGTATGCAGAATTCGTGCTTCTCATTGCTCGTATCTTTACGAAACGTTCGCTTTGCTGAATGCAAATAAAAATCTACTTTCCTCCCCTTTTATTCACACGACTCCGGTCTCTATTAATTTATTATTGAAGATTACCTTTTCATTGCAAATCCTCCTCGCACTTGGGAATGTCGAATATCTCGGCGAACAGCGGTGGTAACTTGAGCTTCGTCCAGTTCCTGCGGAACCAATCTAGAAGATTGGCGTGTCTGGCGCCGAGCGCCCTCAGCTCGGGTATCCTTTGCGAGACGTTGGTGATCGCGGTGACCGTGCCGCCGGCACTTTCGCCGGAGGGCCGCGTTGCCTGCACCCTCAACGCCTCTAGTACGCGATCCTGCAGCCTCTGCACGGCTTTGACGTCGTTCAGTCCCGGTCGCTCGTTAAGCAGCACCGCCGCCGAGAACAGGCCCAGCTCGGTATCGGTCAGTTGATGGGCGTTCAGCGACGACGTGACTTGCATCAGCGCGGACACGAAGTCGAGCTGTCGAAAGATCACAAAAGATCGAATAAAATTGCAACAATCGTGCAATATAACAATTGACGTTATAGAATGTCTAAAATATATTATTTTATTTTCTACTTATTCCTTAACCGAAAAAAATCAGTTCTATATTTTTTATGCGATAGATAACAAATTTGAATCCGAAAGTATGATTTTTACTGAGACTTAGGAAAATAAGTACAAGTCCGTGTACTTCATCAAAGGTGAAATTAGATCAGTACGAGCTAAATTATGCTAATTTAGTCTTCGCTTTAATCTCACCTCGTACATCAGTTCCAGCTGCTGGCGAGTGAAGTAGGTGCCGTCTTCAAAGGTCATCGAATTGTCGGTGGTCATCTTGGAGATGTGGCAGAGCCACACCTCGAAGAAGCCGACCTTGATCAGGATCAGCTGGTCGTCCTGCGAGAGCTCGCAGAATCCCGGCATCCGTTTCGCGAACTCCACCACCCTCTGTACCGACGGCGTCACCCTCGTGGCAAATTGCTGCCACAGCCAGATCCTCTGCGACTCGACCGTCTCCGCGGTCGAGGACGCCGCTTCCGGATCTTCCGGGCTGGTGGGCTGCGAAGAATTACTCGCCTAATCAGCAAGATTACAAACAGACCTGCGAGTTTGCTACCACTTCCAGCGGGAAGTCTTCGCGCTAATGAGTTATTGAGAAATTAAACTAATTCCGCTCTGCGCCGAAAAGAGAAAAACAATAGCGTATCGTAACGGCAGTATCTATTTCACCCTTTCAATCAACGAAAGATCTTTGAAGAAAATACATGGATCTCTATTTATTGAATTTATTATTATAATAGACGACTACTGATGACTGGACGTTCTAGGTCGCAACAAATTAGTTTCCTTTTTCATTTTCTAATGGCTCACCGGTATTATCATAGGTTTCCTCGTGAGGCCCCTGGTGGACTCTTCCGTGAAGCCGCAATGAGCGTGATGAGCCTGCGACACCTGATGAATCACATCGTACACGGCCAGTTGCTTCACGTCAGCGTCCGACTGGTCAGCCTCGACCACCGCCGCCGACGATACCCGCGAGATCGCGTTCTGGCTCTGGGTATTGTTGTTGTTGTTGTTGTTATTGTTGTTGTTGTTATTGTTGTTCTTGTTGCTGGCGTTGTTGTTGCCGGTATCGGGCGTGGTCAGCTGCTGCATCTCCATGGCCGCCATCGTCGTCGTCGTCGTCGTCGTCGTCATGGTCGTCGCCATCGTGTCCTCGGGGCCGCGTTCTCTCGAGCGTTTCGGCACCCTGCCGTATCTCACGGCTGCAAAGAGACGGGCAACGCTAGAACGATCGCTAGGGAGATCTCGAGAGATATTCGATCGGGAATTATTCACCGATGTTTTTTTGCTCCTCGCGAATACGACAGCGCTTTCTTCGCCGGTATTGATCTTAAGTAAATAAAACCTTCGATAAAATTAAAGATATTTTCGCAAATGTCCCTTTTTAACGAAAGAACGTAATTGTCTTTTATTCTCCACAAACAATCTTAAGTAAGCTGTTTATCTGTCAAAGTGTTATCACACCGGGCTTCCGTGCGATAATAAGAGCGAGGGTAATTTTTTTCTTGTCGGAAACTTAAATAATTCTTCGTTCGCGAAGCTAAAGTGTTTTTGGACTGCGGCCGATTAAAAATCGGAGCTCTTCGGCGAGTCGAGCTTCAGGAACATGGACAATAAAAGTCTTACGGCTCAAAGTAATTTTATAGGTAGATTTGATTAGTTCCATGGATTCCTGATTTAAACGCCGCTCAAGATATTTTACGTCAGAAGTTTGAACATTTCCGAAAGTTGAGTCACGAGGATGTAAATGAAAGCCATCTCGTTTGCGTTCCTCTAGATTATTACACCCGAGTCTACGTGAGTTCGTTACAATTTCGTTTGCGACACGTGACACGATAATGAAGCAGTACTCGCAGGTCGCAGGTCGCACGTCGTACACGTAGGACCAGTATTGCGCCCTGGAACTCTGACGTTTAATTATGTACACGCCTGCCCTTTGGTTTACTTTGCTCTCTCTCTCTCTCTCTTTCTGGGCGACAAGTAGATTTTGCATCACTGACGGCCAGAATTGCGATCTCCTAGAATTCTGTTTTGAATTTCTAACAGCATCGCGCGCACTTTCGTGAGCTCGTTTCTGACATACGCGCGAGGAATCAAAGCCGACATATAACGCACGGCATATAACTGGCGAATTAACATACAATCTCGTCTGAATATTTTTTAACTTTTAATAAACATTTTCTCTCTCTTTGTCTATGTACAATTACGTGTATGTACAATTCATTGTCTGTCATAAAAATTTCTATTTCCAAAATTTTCTAATACAATAAGGATAAAAGAGATAGTATATGTATATAAATTTTTAAACAATATGTCATTTTACAATAATACATTTTTAAATAATTTTTTGGAGTACTCGATGTCAATGTATCTCTCGTGAGTTACTATAATTATTTGATATACTTTATCTTATACAAAATAATAGAATCAGCAGAAGAGACGAAAAACATTTTATTTTCCTCGCAATCTTTTGGAAAATGTATTTTGGTTATCAATTTCTTTATAAGTATAAAATCTGTGCGAATTAAATATTCGATAATGTTGTTTCGAGGTTTCATTGATATATTGGTTTCCAAATTTGTCGACTGTCTAGACTCCAGACGAAGTGTAAAAAGTGTTAAACGGCAGCGCGAACACGGTACTTACAGTCTCTGGACATGCCGACAGCTAGGCACTTCTTGAATCTGCAGTACTGGCAACGGTTCCGATTTAATCTGATGACAAGACACTTGCCGTCCCTCAAGCACCTGTACTCTATCTGCTTCTGTATGCTCCTCCTGAAGAAGCCCTGAAACAGGAAGTAAGGAAGCGCTATTAATAACGATCCCATAGACCGTCGCGGGGTTAATTATATCTCCCTGCGTATAAAATACGACACTCCGTGCCCTTCTTTGTAACGCCGAGAGTGTAAGAAAAGTGAGACGTATAACGGAAAATGCGCTCATGAGAAAAGCAAGTTCTCGAACGCGCTTCATATATTATATTCCCGGATGAGAAATTCTCTGTTGTGATTACATCGGAATTGGTATGCTTCCAATTAGTAACAAGTGATAATCAGATAATATATTAAATAATATATTCTAAATTTTCTGTGAAATTTGTCAATTTTTATTTCAGCGAAGATTTCCGCAAATAGCTATCATATTTGCTAAATTTTTAACTTCCGACACTATTTTAATAAATTGCACCAAAAAATCCGTTAAACATCGCACATTTTTCTGGATGAGAAATTCTCTCTGTTGTGATTACATCGGAATTTGTGTTGCAATGAATAATAAGTAATAATTAATCAACACGTTATATATACACTCGCTTTGTTCAAATAATTTGCTCAATACTTTTGAATAAAATATCTTAATATATAAACTTTCGAAATAACTATTGTTTTCTCGTTTATATTTCATCAGTATTTATCGGAATGCTCGATATAGCCTTATTTTTCTCACCAATGTTGTGTTACATAAACACATAAACAACAGGCGGCTGCGGCTTTACGAAGCGAATAGCTCGCGCTGACGTAATGGAATAATAGAAACGGCATATGGATGAGTCCCGAGCAATCGAGAAAGCATCGGTTTATTGGCATATTACTATCGGTGCTAATTGATGAAAGGTATTCGTAACAGCGTCAGGCAACAACGTTAACGTATATCCAGCATCCAATATCCTGGAATCCCCGATGGACGGACTGCTCGTAATGCAACTGTCGATATTACTGGTAACCGATGGCGCGCGTGACCTCTCTCTCAGCTCATTTCTAAAATCGATACATTATAACGCGTTTGTCTGTCTGTGTGCCTTCGCCAGCTGTATGGAAAAAATAATAATTGTACAATTATTTTGATAGATCTGTGTCACAAGTTAAACACGCACAGATCTTAGAAAAACGTTGCGAAAACGCGACGAGCTGAGCGTAGTTAAAGAAATAAATTAATTTTTTATCTTTTTGCGATGAGAGAATTGCTCCATCACAAGAAAACAGAAGGTGTACAGAAAATTTTAGATAAATTACAACTGACTTTAATTAGCAAAGTTAATCAAAGTCTTTTCAAAAGTTATTTCAATAATATTTAATTTGCATTAAATAATCGTGTATAAAGGATCCCTTAAAAATTCTAGACTTCGGCCGAGATATTAAGCTAAGGAAAAATTCGACTTGAAAGAAGAAGACGCGAAGTAAAACATTGGGGACAAGATTTATGTTTTTTAACTCAACACAAAAAGCTCGCTATCTTCTGCAAAAGATTTGTGTACCACGTAATGTAGGAATTTTTGAAATAACTGTTGCCTCACGTTACAAAGCAGCTGCGAAAAGAAAGCTGCATTAGAGTTTTGTACAACAATAAATATTGCACGTGAAAAATAAAGGAGAAGCAGCACGAACCGCACATCGAGTCAGTAGTAAAAACGCGGTGCGGGTCAGACGAATGTAACGGCGGTAACGGCGTACCACGCAGTAGTAATACGGTCGGACGCGGAACAATGGCAAGCTGTTTCATTGATTTGTTGCACTTTAAATTACAATTTATTGCTGTGCGCGCAAAATTTGTTGTTTATTATTTCAATGTTTATTAGTTAGTTATAAATGTCAATATTAATATGATTAAATTTATTATGATAATATAATATAATAAAATTGATTATTAATATGAACTGGATTAGATATTAAAATAATAATTTCGAGAAGCTCCTATCAACGTAATTTTCACTTCTATTATTCAAATGCTTTTGGTTCTCGACTTGGAAGAAGGAATAATAATATCGACACGTGGTGTCAAATATTACCAAAAATTTCGATATTCGGTAATATGCGCGCTACAAAATTATATTAGAAGAAGCCAAAGCGCAGATGCCATTCGTGCGATATTGAAAACGTGCCTGGATGTTAAATCCTTTTTCTCTCCTTTAAGCGAAAGATATACTTCCAGGACGAAGTCGCGTTTGAGGGATGCAAATGAGGGCTCGCTCACCCGGCGCTAACTTTGGGCTTGAACTTATCACGGCGGAATCGCGCAGATACGCGCGCGCGTGTGTGTGTGTGTCTGCGTGCATTTACCCGCAGAACTTGCTGTTAGCGAATGCGAGAATGCACCAATTCACCGTTAACTCTGGCCTTAGGGCTTCCGTGTTTGAAATCTCAGGCGTGCAGCAGCGGCGGTACGGGCGGGCCCGGGCGTTCCGCGGCGGATGTGCATCTCCCACGATGCTTAAAACGTGAACGCGCGCGCACCGATAAATATCCTGCCCCGAAGTGCGAACGGGTCGTTTCGCGGATTATTACCCGATCGTCATGCATCCTTGCGGATCGGAGTTGTAAATTTTACTCGACCCACCACTGCGCCGCGAGGTCAAACCGATCGGCGAATATTCTCGCAAGGTATCGGAAGCTGATGCGAGCAACTCCGGTCTTGCGATATATCGCGTCTCGAGCTTCTCTTTTCTAATTCTGCACGTGGGGTAATTCTCTTCCGACTTGTTACCGATAGTAAACCGCGCGAGGAATGGAGTCCCAGCTGCTTTCCGAATCATTAACGTAGATTACACATTGGTTTATAAGATTAAACGCGTCACATTAATCATGTTACGTGGATTTAAGTATAGTTGTGCTGAGAGTTTACTTTTCTCAACAAATTATCAGCACGAGCAATCAAAGATAAATCGCTGCAGCTGTGGAATTTCTCCCAATAATTATTACGCGAAAATTAATATAGACGTTACAACTTCGACTCTTGAATTTCGACTCGATCTTTTGTTTGCTTTCGATAAGGACTCTCGATACTCACTTTGCAACCCTCGCAGCTGGTAACGCCGTAATGATAACCGCTCGCCTTATCGCCGCAGACCTTGCAGGGTACGAAACTCTTAGCGGGCGTCGAACTGTTGGAATCAGCTGCCGCGTAATGCTGCTCTGTAAGCAAACAAGAATTTAAAAAATTAATGCGCTGTTTTCCTTTTTCTTATGAAACTATATAAATAATTATAAGATTTGTAAATTAAAAATTATGACAGGATAAATCGATTGTATAGTGTAAAAGACAAACGGAATGGTAAAGACTATTTGTAGCTGCGAGAGAGATGTACTTTGCGAGACTATCTAATTTCACATGTTTCCTTGAGTTCAAAAAGGCGAGATAAGACGTAAAAGGAATTAAAAGCGAAGAAAGATTATTTCGCGTGAGCGTCGGGCTTCTTCCCCTCTCCCCCGCGACTCTCCTATTTCTTAGAGACAAACGGGACATCCATCCAGCATTAGCAGCATCTTTCCTGCGTTCGCTCAGCATCCATAATGCAACGAAGCTCATCGTCGTGGAAGGAAATAGGCCGCTTCGTTCGTTCGGACGGTTCAGGCTGGACGCGTAACGGGAAGCCGGCGTGACCGTTACGGAAAAGGAGCAGAAGAAGAAGAAGAAGAAGCGGGCGCAGCGACGGCGGCGGGCACCCAACTAGACGGAGCAGAGCAGAAACAGGAGGAGGAGGAGAAGAAGAAGTAGGAGGAGGAGGATGAGGAAGAGAATGAGGAGAAGGAAGAGATGGAGCAGGGAAGAAATGAAAAAGGAGTAGCAAAAAGGAGCGAAACGGGGCCGCCGGCAAAGGGAGAGAAGAGAAACCCGTACATAGGAGATCGTAGCTTGCGACGTGTGTACCGTTGGCCTCTCTCGCGAAACCCCCTGCCAGAAGACGTCGTTATGCGTATATAGCTAAGGAGAAGAGGGGAAAATCTACGGACGTGTAAGAAGGAGAGAAGAAAAACGGTAGGAACTTTCAAGTGAAACTAGTGGAAGAGAGAGAGAGGGAGGGGGGGAGCTAGAAAATTCTCTCTGATCCAAGAGAACCTTGCCGTTTGTGCGCGATGTGATTTTATGATGGCCGTAGAAACCGTCGTCAGAAGCGAACGGTACCGTTCGTCCGTTCGCTCGCTCGCTCGCTGAATGCATCGTGCAACCCATCGCGGGGACAATCGAGAGCAACTCCGTTATTTGGCTCGTCGCGTGGCGCTACTCCTTGCGCCTTTACCTTTGCGAGCAACAACGACCGGCGAGCTGCGGAAAACGTCAAGATCGCTTCGCAGAATCAACCGTCTTTGATTGCGGCACGTTCAGTTGCTCTTTCGAAATTACCAACGAACTAAAAATCAAGATGCGCTATAGTTACGGATGTATCGCACTAAGACTGACTGTTAATTCTATAATAAGTCAGAATAGCGTGTGGCAGACGCAAAATAACAATGAAAAATCTTAATTGTTTGTCATTTCCAATTTTAACTGATTGTAAATATGTACGTAATATATATGTGTTACTTAAGCAGGAGTTAACTCTGGAAGTTCGCGATACAGTTTTGGCAATCCGTAATTCTGATATTATTAAATTTAACAAACATGGAAAGATTGATAAAATGCTTGGAATACGCGCCGATTAAATTTTACACCATCTTTTGCTTCTCCCTTGGTAGATAATTTTAACGACATCAAAGTTAAATATTATATCGAAAAGGATAGATCGGGAAAAGTAAATTCAGTTCAATTTTCCGATTAAACTTTCTACGTCATGTGGGTTGTTGACTCTTCGTGAAGAGTATGAATTTTTTATTGGTATAAAAAAAAGATTTGAAAACTAAATTGCTGGCGTGCAAGAAGGAATATTTTTTATTTTCTTTCTTTATCAAGTTGATACGTTAAATGACAGATGGCACGAATTAATTGTGCAAATAAGAATTTAGTCGAGCAATAATAGCAAAAGTGGAGTAGAGTTTAATGTAGATCGAATGTAATCGACGATTGACGTCGCATCGTAAAAGCATCGTTAAATTATTAAATAAATCACGAAATTTGTAATGACGGATTTTTGAGAATTGAGATAATCACACTGACGATCGGATAATGACACGCCATCATCAGATATTAATTATTCTGTATGCTCAACATCGAGATACTTCGAGTGTTAATTACGGTCGATATGGGCGATATTATTTTGGAAATAATGTAATTCTACTCCCGTAAATCCTCATAAATAATTATACCGCGTCACTTTATATCTCATCTCATTAAAATTTGTAATTGCGACCACTTGTGAAATAAGTAATGCGTTACAATATTAATTAAATATAATAAAAATTACGCATTAAAATAACAATTTACTAATAGAGGACTTTATATTTAGTAAAAATAGATAGATATAAAAATAAATTATGGAAAATAAATTAAGAAATACGCACGTGTGTGCGCATGCACGTGTGAGTATGTGTGCATGTGTGTGCATATGAATGATACTCTGGTTGATCCGTAATTTCGAGAGAGCAAGGCGGAAGTTTATGGGTGCGCCGTAATTACATACACTGGTATAATCAGTTAACAGTTAAACCAAAGTTCTTCAGTACTCGTTCGAAAGAATCATGCCGCTCATTAGAGACATATGTTAAACGGTCACGCACGAATAAATCTAAATGCTATTTTCTTGCGTCGCGCTTACTCTCGCGGAACACCACCTTTCTTTGCCGGACACGAGTGATAAGACGTAAAAATCACGTTCTATTTATTTTACACGAGTGATAAACTTGGACCTGCTTTTCGTACCGATAAAAATATCATTAACTGGTGAGTTATGGTCATTAGATCATAGCCCATTGCTGATAGTTTCTATTTCACGTAATCGTTGCTGCAATTTGTACACAATTGTAGATTTGCGATAACGTGACGTGTGCGTGTGTGCGGTGCGCGGTCTCTTTCGAAGCTACCAGATCTCCATGGCCCTGGTAATCCATCAGTCTGCTGATAAATCGATTACGCTACATCCACGCGGGGTTACTCGCCTTTGTTCAGAAATCAGCGGGGCGGTAAATGCACCGAAAGCGCTGCACGTTCGAATAAACGGCGCGATGCGATGCTAATGATATTATCGTGCTCGACAATATCAAAACCGATATACAGCTCGTTTCGACAGTGTTTATTAGCGACTATCCCAGCTCCAATAAGGATAATTTAATCTGGGCCAGCTATTTATTCACCAAACAATGTGATATTTCGATTTATATTTTTGCCGACAAAAAAGTCGTAACTGTATAAGCAATAATTGTAACTGTATTATTCTTAATGTTAACATAAAGAGATTGAAGTTAATATAAAAAATGATGCTTTATCGGAAAGGAACTGAGCGAGTAAGGGCTCAGTCACAATGAGAGGAATAAGGAATAAGATAAAGGAATAAGGAATAAGGGAATGTCGCATCTCACTTCAGTACACGTACATTAAAGTGAGATGCAATATGCCTTATTCCTAATTCCTTTATCTTATTCCTTATTCCTCTCATTGTAACTGAGCCTTAACATATCTCATTGTCGCAATGTATACATATGTGATAATGTCATTTAGCTATCGCGTAGTGAGCTATCCCGGTGAGATAATGTTAAATTTATCTAATCCCGTCCACGTAATTTGCCTAGTCCTAATGTTTACACAAATTTAGCTGTTAGTCGACAGTTCAGGCATGTCGAATGTCAATTTTACGTCGCGGAAATACGGAGCTGCTCTCCTTGTTATCGCAAGTGTGAATCTACGTGTACTTGTGAAACAGTCGATGATGCACCCCATTGTCGGTGAGCACTGGCGCGTGTTCGACACGACGGTAGACACTCCGGAAGAAAACAGGATGGGATCCCCGCGCGGCTTTCCCGAGATATCGAGGGAAAAAAGGAAAGAAGAGGAAACGCGCAAAAAATATTCGCCGAACGTATTACGAGAACAATGTTGTAAGTAATTTCCTGCTCGCCTCTGAGAAACAGATGGGAAGTTTATGAAAATATTTACTGTAAAAAAAAAGCGATTGTACAAGATGCTCGCAATTACCGTACGATAATTTAAAAGCGAATTCGCAAGATTAATGAGTCGAAAATCTCCTGAAGTATCTGAGGTTACGTTACGATGGTTCTCGAGTAACAAGAAAATCATACAAAAGTGTACAATAGAGCAATTTATACGGTTCAGATAATATTTTTCTTCGGATATTTATCTTTTATAAATATGCATTATTTGTGTGTACATATGCGTATGAAAAGGTAAATGGTAAAAGGCAAATATTATCTGCATTTTAACAGCATTCTAGATATGTCAAAACAAATTAAAAGCAACAATATTTCCACTAAACAAAATTTCCGATCAAACGCAATCATCTTGGATGACGCTATAGTGAGTTCGTTAAATAAAATGTAAAATCCGCGATAGCCCATTTTTCGAAATTAACTCGTGAGGAACAGAATATTGGGTACGTATTTACCTTACGATAAATGTTTCTGGAAAATAGTCTAATGTGCTCAGGTGCAACGCGCTGTTACACACTTACTGCTGCTATTATTCGCGCGGCCACAGAGATTTTCGCTGACAGGCAGCGGCACAAGCCGTGTATTATTATTACTACCTTTCGAAACGAGACAGGTATTAAGATATGTCAAAAGCAATTGTTGAACCTATCAACTATCGGCTCGCGCGATTGCTATTCCTCCAGTTTGTTTCCGAGCGCGTTAAATATTCCGCGGCCGCGAATTCTCTCGTTATCACGCGGCGCTCGCTTTTCGCAACGTGTCGTTATATCTAATATATGTAGTTATCTTATTTCTCTTCACGTGGCGATATTCGAGCGGATGGTAATTTATGTAAATCGATATAATCAGTTAACAGTGAGCCGAAGTTCTTCAGCGCTCGTTTGAAAGAGTCGCTCGTTAGAGATATGTAACACGGTAACGCGTAAATATCTCTGTTTTGCCTTAAACGCAAACGCGCGATTAGCCGCGATAAACGCGGCCAAAAGTGCTCGGAGGAAGCATAACAAAATTCTCTTGTGTTTACGCGTTCGCTTTGCTATCCGCGCGGCGAGAGACCCGAGTCGATACTCGATATAGCCACCGGCACGAGTC